CCTCCTCTGCAAACCCTTCCAGATCCATTGGATGCTCCGATTCTCTGGACCCATCCTTCTGGGCAGGACCCTGCTCTTAATTCCAGGGTGGATTTATGCAGGACCAGTTCAGCCCCATGTCCTGTGCCTACAGTGTCCTCCAGAGCTTACATTAGCTCCTCTGCCTCGCCGTGTTTACCCCCTCGATGTATTTACACGGAGCAATCAGCTCCGCTCCCCGCCTGCCCTTTGCTAGACTAAACAAGCCCAGCTCTCGCAGCTTCCGGCACAGCCTCGCTCATCCCAGAGCCCTCTGCCCGCATCCCCCTGCCCGGCACATCCCGCAGTCCCCGCCGCTCCATCCCGCCGAGCTAATGAATAACGGTGCTAATTGGAGCGGGTGGGTGGGCTGAGCTGGGATCGCGGGCACTCCCCTCCGCCCTGCCTGCGCTTTGCTCTTTACCTGTATTCAAAGGGTATTAAAACAAATTAACAAGCCCTGACTACATAAAAGGAAGCTGCTGGATTTACAACCCAGCCTGCAGCTAGACCACCTTGCCTGCCGAGCAGGTTTGGGCCAGGCCACGTCTGCCATGGGAATCCCACTGCGGAGGGGTGATGGCACAGGGGCTCCAGGAGCCCGGCAAGGCAGCGGCACCCGGGCTGGGGGCTGCCCACCCCGCTCTGAGAATGGCACTGCAGATCCCTGGAAAATGCCGTGTTAAAGGCAGGATGGCACCCCTGAGGCAAATTCTGAGAGACTGCTTGCTGTTCTGTAGGGATGCAGCACCCTGAGCTGTGGCTGGGGTTGGCCACACGTCCATGGCACAAACGCAGCGGTCGCGGGTGCCTGGACTCTGTCCTGGGGGAATCTCCTGCCCAGCACTGCTCTGTGGCTCATCTGTGACAGTTCCATGCCAAAATCGCTGGAGGGACGTCACAAATGTAAAGGAGAGGAGCAGAAAAGCAGTTTAAAGATAGATACAGAAGCCTGAAAGCAGGCAGGAAACCCATCTCGAGCGTGTTCCTTCCTTTGAGGCTGAAGCTGAATCCCACAATATGTTTTCTTCCCACTAATGCTTGCCTAGCTTCCTTTGGAAACAATTTAGTCGCTGCCCGTGGTAGAATGTTTTTATCCATTAAGAAACGGATATTTTAAAGAAACCATAAGTCAATCTGGACAGGGATTAGGAAGCAGCAATTCAGTGTATTTGCTGGACCCATAATTCAGGACTTAACCTCAGAGCAGCCACGTTGCATTTCGGAAACAATAGGGGCATTTGCTGCCTATGCCAAGAGGCTTCTTAAAAGTAATGTAATACTTTAAAAATGTATATTTAAAAAGAAAAAGAGAGAGAAAGACTTTACTTTAAAGGCATATGATGAAGCATTCTGCTGATGATAAAAATGTTGTGCTGGCCTGAAGTAATGGATTGGGAATGAAGCTGAGCAAATTCCAGATCAGGAGATCTGAGGCTCTTCACCAGTGAACACAGAGTCTCCCCAAAACCATTCCACAGGCACTAGGGCTAAGAGAGGCTTGCAAAAGGGTCTGACATTTACTGTCCTCCCTGTGAAATCAAGGGAGTTTGGCTTCTCTGGAGCAAAACCAAGAGCGTGCAGGGGAACGTGAAGTGCCTCAACCAAAACAGCTCTCTCTGGTACCGAGGAGATCCAATCTAAAATTCCTTTGCAATTGTCCTGGTGAGCACAAGGCCCCTCTATGCTGCTGGACAAGGCACACAATTGCTTTTGAGTGGTTGAAGATGTTTCCACCACAGAACTCGAGCGTGGGCGGTCCTGCTCTGCTGGGAACAAAATGGTTCAGGCTGAGCCACTGCTGAAACACAGGCAAGGGAGGACACAGAGGATTGGGGGCTTCTCCTGGGGAGGACGTGTGTCTGTCACCAGCCCACCTCCCCTGAGCCAGGGGGCCCCGAGAAGCAGCTGAAGGCAGACAGCAGAAGTCCCTTTAACATCTTGCTTCACTTCTGAGAGCTACTTGATTTTTTTTTAAGCTAAAAGGCAAAACTCGACTGAAGCAGGCACGCAAGGCTCTGGCTTCGCGTGCCCCGTAATAAGGAACCATTTCAAGCCATCCTAATGACAGCTTGGTGTCTCGCTGTGGGGATGGCAGAGCTGGGATTGCAAACACTCAGATTTTCCAGACCTCTCTGGAGAAGCATTGGGCCAAATCCTCAACAGAGGCTCTGCTTGGCTGAAGCCTGGGAAGCAGAGCTGGATGCTGATGGGGGTCTGCCTGTCTGACCTGCCCAGCGTTGGGCCAGATTCTCATCACACCTACAGGCGTGAACCCAGAGTCACCCTATTTACTCCCAGAGCAGCGCAAGTGGGAATGAGATCTGGTGTGTGCAGGGTTGCCAGTGTCCATCCCATTTGGGGACAGGCATGCAAAGGGATTAAGTCTCTGCCCCTCTGAGTGGGGCAAGGTCAGAGCCACTGAAATACCCCGACCGTGGAGAGAGCAGGATCCGACCCGCTCAGTATCGGAGCTGCACTCTCTCCTCCCATATTTCCTGGCATGCCCTTCAGAAACCATCAGCTTTCTCTTACCAGGAGGGTTTTGGTTTGATACCATCTAACCTCAGGATGATCATTTTACATGGGGGCTATTTATAACCTCCAGGGGCTGCTTTACTGAAAGCCTCTGCGAGTGGCTGAGGGCCAGACCCTTCTCCCACTCCCAGCGGCGCCCTTGCCATGATCTCCAACACGGCTAGGGCTTTCCCTCCACAGGAGGAGAGTTTGGACTGGGCCAGAGCAAGCACATCTCCCAAGAACTCAAATTCTCCTGAAGATAAACAGTCTCTTCCCTGCCTAAAAAACCAAACTCCACGTGCTGTGTGCAGGAATTTGAGGTGCTGGGATCCCCCCACAGTGGCGGAGGCCATTCCTGAGCATCCCAGCTCCAGCCTGCTTCAGCCAGGAGCGGATTAAGAAGCTTGTGCAAACTGCTTGGTCAGCAGCACAGGGAGGCTGAGCACCCCTGGCACACAAGCAGAGGGAGCCAGGCACTGGTGGAGGCAAAAACCTCCCTGTGCCCCTCTTAATCCCTGCACAGGGATGCTAAAAACATTCACCTTGGGAAGCACCCCGTGAAAGATAGCGGGGGCCGGATGAACCCCAGCCTGCCCCGTGGCCCCTCCCTGCTGGTATCTCGTTCTGCTTCCCACTAATCGGCCTCTCCTGTGTGTTACCCAAGAACGTGCCAAGTCGTGAGAATTACAGGCCTGTTAACTCCCGTGTTGTTCTTGGCACGGGCCGGGCTCCACTTGCTCGGGTAAAAATTATGATCTTTGTGAATAAGCCGTGTGTGTGAGCGAGAGAAAGAGGGGTTTTAAAAATGATGATTATGATTGGTCATAGCCAGAGCTGTGTCAAAAGGACAGGGCTGAGATGAAAATGACTGAGCTGCTCCTGCTCCGAGTTACGCTGGTAGGAACCCGCAGTCATTTTAAGACAGTTCCTCCGACTCGGGAACAAGGGAGCCAAGAGCAGAGCGTGCACAAACCGCCTTTTGCAGCATTCCTGGGACTTCGGATTCACTCCGCAGGAATGATTTCAGAGGCTAATTTTGTGTGTCTCCACTCCTGCTGTCACTTGACATTTGGGAATTTGGCAGGGGCGGTAGCTTGTGGCCAACTCCATTTTTTTTCTCGTTGAATTTGTGTCATCACCTGATTCTTTGCTCCAAACGGCGCTCTTTGGGTTTCTGGCACTGCAGGGGGCTGTGCTAATTTAAAATACAAATCTTTTTTTCTTCCCTCAAGAATCTCTTTCTTTATGATGCAGCCAACAGGACAAGCCTAGAAAACTCTTTCTCTCTCTCCTGCTTTTTAAAAAAAATCCAAATGATAGTCCTACACAAAATGCCCGTGTTCTTCTCATAAACCTTGCTAATATCAATGAGAATTCCAAGCGTGGAGATTTGCATTTCAATGAGAAATAAATTAAATTTTCTCTGTAATTTTGGCTTGGGAGGAGCGGCGCAGCTTTTACAGTTCGAGTAACATTTTCAAACATGTTTTTACACCCAAAACTCCCTCTTTGCTAATGACACCAAGGCTTTCAAACAACCATATCCCTTCTGAAAACACAGCGCAAGGGTTTTGGGAGCTTTTTCTATGAAACTTTCCCAGAAGGGCCTATTCTTACCAAAATTTCAAATACAGACAGCTTAAGTACTGTTCCTTGAAGGCCTGTTAGTGTCTCTGCTGATTTCTGAAGGAAAAGCACCAGTGAGACTAAAAGTACATGGAAAAGCAGCACAGAAAAGGACAGGAGAATGGTCTCTTGATTCATCCTGGTGGCCTCTGCCTGTGCAGAAAGACAGGAGCAGCAGAGAAGCCGAGATATTTTAACATCTTGCTTAGTTTGGGACTGAAATTTGGGGATTAGCAGCCTGATCTCTGTCAGGTAACTCCAGTGGCAATTCCTGAATTCCTGCCCCTGTCCTGGCAGCAAGCTGCGGATTCCTGGGGAACGCCCAGGGACTCGGGCGCTCTTTGCCGCTGGCAGATCTGGGAAGAGCCTGGCTCTGTGTGTGTGTGTGTGTGTGTGTGCCCGTGCAGGTGTGCATCCGTGTGGGGAATTATGCTGGAGCTGGGCGAGGGATCACCACACTTGGCACCCACACAATGATAAGAAACCGTTGGGATTAGCATGTAAAGCACGGAACACCCTCTCTGGCTGATGCATAACCATAGCGCGGCTGCCTTCATGTCAGAGGAGCTGCTGGGTTCAAAGGGTGCTGCTCTCACCTCCCTGGCACTCCTGCTGCTCAGTTGTTCCTCAAAACCCAGATCTAATGGTGCAAAAAGTGACTTAATGGGTGCAAAAAGGCTTCCAAGGTCGAGAAATCTACACAAACCCCTCCCTGGCTCCTTAACCAGGGGAGAGCTGGACTCCAACTCTAAAATCCCATCCAGAGGATTGTTCCCACTCAGCCACGCCAGGAACTCGTGGGTTCAGGGGTGACACTGGGACACCCAGGTGGTTACCTTGGATTGGAGTTTGAGCCTGGGAGCCGAAGTGGCTCGGGGTGCTGAGGGATCCACGGGGGTTGGGTGTTGTCGGGGTGACTCTCATGGACTGGCGCAGCCGTTCCAGCTCTCCGTAGCGGTCGGTGAAGGGTTTGGCTTGGTCTTCCAGCTTTTGTCTGTGCCCTGGAACATGATAAAAGAGTCTGGTATCTGATCAGCTCCCCTTTGGCTGCAGCACCCTGGTTACACAGGGAGCCAGCACAGCCTCTGTCTCTGTGGTTTGCTGTTACTCACACAGGATAATGGGTGCCAGCCCAGGCAGAGAGCAGCTCTCAGGGCAGGTGGACACAGAGTGACCCACAGGGGAGGCTCCAGATCATCCAGAGAGTCTCCAATCAAGGAGCCGGATCAGGACGCCCCTGCCTGAGTGACCACCCTCCACCAGCCCTTGCTGACTCTGAACATGGAGGGGAGACATGTGCAAGGCAGAAGAAACCACGTCCTGGCGAAGTGGGGACTGGGGAACCAGTAAACATTGAATTTCAATTTTTTTCTGCAGCGTTTGCTCATTGCTTAAAGAACAAACTCCCATCTTACTCCAGCCCCCTCCCAGCTGTGCCCACCTAGCTTGGTCAGAGCCCAGTGGGGCTGGAGGAGACACAGGAGGGATGGGATCAGCCCTCATTGACACCACACCTTGGCCACCTCACTTTGCTTCTCTCTGTTCCTCTTTCCTCCCCATAAAACGGGCAGACTAATCACCCACCTCCCCCAGGCAGGGCAGCAGCTAATGAGCGTTCATAAAGCACTCCCAGCTCCTTAGGTAGCAGCTGCTGGCACAGGGCAATAATTATTAAATTTATGCTAATTGTCCCGAGGCGAGAGGCGCATGAAACACACTTGATACATAACTTTCACATTTGACTGTATTAATCATCGCCAAACAGCTTCGCTCTCTCTGGACCGGATTCCAGTCTCAGTTACACCCGCACAAAGCTGGAGGGGCTCCAGAGGAGCCTCAGTTTTACATCAGCGCGGGGTTCAGACCTTGGCTTCTCCTTGTTCTTCCCCTGCCGCAGCCAGAGTGCCCCGCAACACCCCCAGCCCTCTGCACCTGCCACGGAGGGACCTTGCCCAGGTGGCACCGCCTCATCCCGGCACCATCCCAGCGCTCAGGGGCACTGGAGGTGTGCAGGCACGCCGGGAGAGAGGCTGGGAAGAAACCTTTCTGCAGCACTTCAGAGAGCTGGGCCTTATCAGATCCTACAGCCCGACATCCACCAAGCCAAGCTCAGCTCTTGGTGGCTTCTGAAGAAGAAAAGGAAAGCAAAGCAGCGCGTTTAAAAGGCGATGAAAGCAGGCATCTCTCACCCGCACGCCCCTGCCCTTCCCCCTCACATCTGCACAGCTCTGTGAGCTGTGTCAGTTTATAGCAAAGTCACAGAAAGCCCCCACACTTCCCCCTCTTTAAATCCAGCGTCTGGTATCTCCTGATCTCCCACTTGCCTGGCTCAGGCTGTGCTTGCCAGGCTGGCTGGGAGGATGCTGGGATGGGAGGGAAGCTCCAAGGGGAGCTCACACTCCCAGCTGAGCTCCACAGGTGTCCCACCAGCAAACCCATCCCAGCCACAGATTCAGAGGGGCTTTGACCCCTCTCTGCTCTCTCCACATCCAGGTGAGCCCCAGCATCCCCTCCAAGCTCTATAATCTCCAGACTTACAGAGATTTGAGAGTCCAAACCGAGGGAAAACATGCTGGCAGCAGAGAGGAAAACTTGGGGAGGACAAACCCAGCAGGAAGCAAAAACCCAGCAGTATTTTGAAAATGTATTTTCCCTGCTGTGTGAAGTAAACCAAGGAAACCTCAAAGCAAGATCATAAATGATCTATTCTCATCTCTGTGTGTCCCCAGACCTCAGGCACCTCTGCATTATCCAGGAGTTGTGAGCAGCATCTGTCACATGGTGCTTTCTCCAGGGGAAAAGTGTGTGCACTGAGATGTCTTGTTTTAGCCCACATTTTATTATTTCACTATACATTTATGCACAGAAGAAGAAAAATAGTGTTATATTTCATCTTTACCCAGTTTTTTTTGGGCAGAGCTCGCAGGAAAGCTAAAAAGGACTTCAAAGACCAAGTTCCCCAGCAATCTAATGAAAATTAAATTCCCTTCCTCTATCTCAGCACAAACCCTATCCTGTGGTGGTATCTGGCATGTGACAGGGAAAATCCTGAAAAAATATATTAAGTGATCTCTATGCTGATAATGTTTTTAAAGATTATTCAGCCATGCAGCCCCACCAAGGCCTTCATGTGCCTGTGTCATGCTGCACTGTGGTTGCTCCGGTGCCCGCGCTGTCTGAACATGGGCACAGCTCCGTGGGCTTTGCCAGCACCCTCCAGGAGGGGCTGGATTGTGGGGAGACTCAGCAAAACCCCCAAACCCCTGAAACTATCCAGCTGAAAAGAAAGTGGAAAACTTGACGCAAATGTAAGTCAAGGCAAAGACGGGGTGGTGGGATCAGGGCTCTTCCCAGCCCTCCCAGCCCCTCTCCAGTCTGTGTCCCACCCTGTCCCCACATGTGGGACCTGGTAGCCTCAAACCCTGTGAAACAAGGCAGAGAACGAGTTAAAAACCACCAGCTTGGCCTGCCAGCCCTCTTTAGCTCAGGCTGTCTCCCCAGGACTTCCTGCCGCTTGTCACTTAGGGCTGGGGACGTCAGACTTTGTCACGCAAGAGAGAATCGCTGTTAATGGGTTTCTTTCATCAGAACAACCTGAGCTTTTTAATTTCTGCAGCGGTTGGCTTCATTAAAAGCCCTTCCCCATCTGCCCACAGCTGTCACGGAGAGGAAACCAGTGAACAATGGCTCATACCTTAGAGAACAGGAAGGTGGTTTCTACCTTCACCCAAGCACTGACTCAAAGCCTCCCGAAGCCAGTGGGTGGATTTTCACTCGACTTCAAACAGCCCCAGCCCTCATCCCAAGAAATCTGTCTGAGAAGCCTTAATCACCTCAACCTGTGAATTTTAGGGCACAAAAGGCACTGCTGGGGTTGGGGATTCTGTGCTGCATTTCCAGCTGGGCCACCACTGGCTTGTAGGTCAATATTTATGGAAACAGCAGAGCCCAGCATGGTCAATTGGTGGCAGCTCCTGACCTTGGGCACTCCTTGTCAGCAGCGCCAGGGTTTTAACGCTGGATTGAGTTTCAGAATCGGTTAACTCCGGTATTGAACGTGACATGATGTAAACATTGACAGATCACCTATGATCCTGATGTAATAACAAGATCTGTATCAGCATATCAAACAAACTATCCCATTGAACACTTCCCAGCTGGAAGAGCCGACGTGAATTTGACACTTTAGGCCAGTAATAAGAAGCATACTGGAAGTTTTGGGTGTTTCCTTGGAATGCAGACAGCGAAACAGTGTGTGCCACACGAGCTCAGGCTTTCAGAGCTATGATTTAAAGACATGCTTTCTGCATTAAAATATTTAAAAGTCCAAATAGAGTCTGCTCTTCCTTCTAGGAGTGTACAACCTGAAGTGGCTTCCCAAGCCAGGACCAGGATGGGGTTTCCAGGCTGTGGAGGGGGAGTTCCAAAAGCAGCTGATTTCCTCAGATTACTGAGGTACAGAATATAAAGTTGAGCAAAGGTAGAAAGGGGCTCCAGGAACTTCATGGCTCGAGTGACACGAAAATCTCAGAGCTGAGAGATTTGACTAAAAAAAACTCTCTGTGGGGTGAGTGGAGCCCCAGTTCCCGGATTTCTCTGTAGATGGAGTTAGATGAGATCTGAGGAGCTGCCCAGCCTCCCCGCAGCCCTGCTGGGCTCAGAGCTGGGTGTCACGCTCATCCCCAGCCCCCGGCTCAGCCCCGTGCTGCCGGGAGAGCAGATGTTGGGAAGTGGCTTGGCCCTCCCCGGGAGCCTGGCTGCGGAATGCTGGCGGCAAGCTGGAGCAGAGGAAACGGCGAGGGGCGTTCATGAGCACACACACACACACTGCAGATCACTGCCTCAGCTCCAGACAGGAGGAGACAGAGCCACGAGAGGGTGGCATGGGCTGGCACAGCAGCTTGAGCCACACTCAGCCTCCTTCAAAGCGTCCAAGCATCCCCCTGGCATTCCACCATCCTCCCACCAAGGCTCTGCTCAAATATTCCCAGCCAAACTCCAGGGCTGAGCCAAGCTCACCAGGAGCAGCCCCTGCACATAAAGCCATGGCTTAGTCTCTACATGTCCCTGAGAAGGGACCACAAGAAAGGAATCAGCAGTGGATAAAACTCTGTCTCAATGTGCAAAACACCTTTCAAATCCCTCCCGTAGCCCTCGAAATAGGTACTTCAGAGAGACACGCCAGTCCTCTGCAGAGGCTGGAATTTTTTCCCAGTCTGAGTCTCGGCTAGACTATCAAGTCCCAGCATGTGCTCCAGAAAGAAGCCACATGTGAAACTCCTGTGTTATGGGAACAGCAGGCCTGTCCCTTGCAGCTGGGCTGGTTTCATCTTTGCACACCTCTAACACAAGGCAAGAACACGGCTCAGACTCTCCCTGGAATCCCACCTCCAGCTCTGGACCTGCCATGGCAAATGCCCAGCCAAGAAGAATTCGGAGGAGCCCCGCTGCCAGGGAAGGAGGGAGGGAGGACAGTGCAGAGCTGGGAGCTGGAAGGGAGCTGGAAGGGACTCAAACGTGACGCGGGATGACGGAGGTGCCCTCCGAGCCCCAGTGAGAGCCAACCCCACTGCTAAAACCAGAGCCCAGGAGTTCACAGGAGGCAGCAGGAGGGAAACGTTGGGAGGCACCGTCCCTTGTGCTGCTGAACAAAGTCAGGCACAGATAACTCATTATTCACATGTTTGAAGTTGGCCTGCTTACGCCATTTGGAAGGAGAATCAGTCACGGCCGGGCTTTGCTTTGGTTTCCTCTGGCTTTCGTGAGACACTGCTGCTACTGTCTTTCTGCAGCTCGGGGAGAAAGGGGAGTGTGGCGCAATGCGCCCCGGCTCGCTTGTCCTGGCACAGCGTTCACACCAACAACCAAAGGAAAATAATATTTAAAGGGGCGGGGGAGAGAATTAGGAAGGGGAAAGAAAAAAAAAAAAAGAAAAAAGAAAAAAAGGCTGCTAATTTATAAAGCTTTTTTAGCTGGTGGTGGTCTGAGATGAATTGGCTGC